TTCAGGCGTTGAGGAAACTCAACGCTGCTAATGGGACCTGGCCCCGGGGCTAAGTAGGTCCCACTTAACACGAATGAAGAGATATTGACCGTAGATCGCACAGATCAATGGGCAGAATCTCTCTTAGTTCGTCCAAGTGGGACCCACCGTCTTCGCCCGAATAGACCGTACGGTCATTTGCGCTGCATCTGGACTGCCGGTTGGTCCAAATACGGCTACAATGACCGTATGTTCTATTCGGGGGAAGCCAGTAGCCCCCTGAGTAGTGATCCTTGCTCTTGCCACGCACAAAATCTGTCATGCCACGCACAAAATTACAGACCAAGAACTGAGTAGTCGATTTTCCGGTTCAGCCAGTCGTTTAATAGAGGATTTCTCCTTTTAGCAAGTTAGACTGAGGTAATAGACAGGGGCCCACCCGGACTAGGTCCTATAGGCCCATAGGCTAAGACAGTACCCCATGTTCTTGTATCTTTCTTGTCAAGCTGTTTCCTTTATTCTCCCTGCATAGCTGCCAATTGATTGGGACACTGGATCCGGTTTCCAGCAACAGCCTAAGCTGGGCAAACGCCCCAGCACACTCCTGGGGCAAGGTCCCACTTGCATGGATTAGGAGATTGCGGCCGTTGATCTTCGCTATCGACGGTCGATATGGCATAATTCGTGCAAGTGGGACCTAGCCCCGGGTTGTGTTGTCGAGGGATTCCCAGCCTCGTTACCAGTTCCTTTTGAATATATTGCAAGCTATTAAACCACTAGTACCTTTGCCGCGTGGGAAAATAGCGGGCCTCGGGTGGGCCTCCGACCTTTTCGGATGGCTGCCGGCCGCCTATCAAATTTATCAGGCCGCCTATCAGTACTTCAAACCTAAGAGAACCTAAAAGAAACTGGAAAGTCGGGGCCGGACCGTTAGGGTCCTGATACAAAAACTGGACCCGACAGTGCCGTCGAAAAAGGAGCTCTCACGACAGTACCGCTGCTTTTATGTGGGCGCCTGCGGTTCCAGAGAAAAGAGAGACAGTCCGTATGGTCCAGCGAACGGACGGACCCCTTGTGTGTTGCATTTTTTTTTTTGAGCGATGGACATGAAAAAAAAAAAAAAAAAGAAGGAAAACTTCACCATCTTTTTAGCTTCAGAGACCGTGGTTGGCTCTCTTGCAAATGGAGACAATTTCTTGCGGAATGGAATCCGCGCGAACTGCCATGACACCCAAACTCTGCCATGACACCCAAACTCCAAAACGACCTCCGACGGGGCCGCCACTCCCTGCGACTGCAGAAAGTAGTGGGATCCCACAAAAATGCAAAAAGTACTTGACGTAAGTACTGTCAGATCAGAAGCTTATCAATGGCAGCCGTCGTCGGCCCGACCTCCGAATTTTCAGGAGCTGGGAAAACGGCCAGTTTTCCCTAATTTCCCAACATAAAAAAAAAAATAAAAAAAGATGGCGGGAAAGTGTGAAGGATACTAAGCGGGAAAGCGTGACCAATATTGGCAGGGAAAGTGTGACCTATGAATGGCGGGAAAG